GCCCGAGCTGCGCGCCTTGGCGTAGAGCCGTGGCGACCCCGGCTCTGCAGGCGTGATGGGACTCGGTGAGTGGGCCCAGCCTGCTGCGTACAAAGCCCAGGGGCGCGGGCCTCAGGGTTTTCAGGGGCACTCTCCCGGGGAGGGACCCCTAGCCCAGGGGAACCCTGTGGAGGAATTCATGTGTCCGGCAGTGCCTTGGTCTCCCCATCCCTGGGCCCCCACTGTATGCCCATTACTATGCTGGGCGCTTTTTCAGACTTGTCTCCTTTAAGACCCTCTATGCCCTGTCCTGGGGTGTGTGTCATAGGATGATGGGTCCTTCACTTGGAGCCACATCCCTGACTGACTGACCTTGGGAAAGCTCCTGTACTCCAAACCAAGCTTCTGTAAATGGGGGGTCGGGATATGGGGTGGGGTGGGGGGACTTGAGGTTGGATAACTACCGCTCAGGACTGTGGTTACTAGTTAAAGGAGGTAATGTATGTAAATGATTATTGCTAAATTTTGCGCACTTACTAAGTGCCAGGCCCTAGGTGCTAAACAGTTGACATATATTATTTAATTCATCACACCAGCGCTATGATGTCGCTACTGTAAACTGAATGAATAATCTTTAGGTGCCGAAAACAGGCAAGAATTTGGTCTCTCTGCTCTGACCCAAAGGAAACTTGGTGGTGCGGTGGCTAAATCTTTGGCAGATCAAACCTACTACCTACACTCTGGGAAAGATTATTTATTTTAGAAAGCCTATGAGACAGTTCTACCCTGTTTTATAGGGTCACTGAGTCAGCATTAACTTGGGTTTAGTGACTCAGAAAATTGGGCGTTTCTTAGATGTGGTAACATTTGAGATTCCAAATACTCTTGGAGTACTTCAGTGACGTTATAGGTGCAAGGATATATTTCAGTGACACACTATTTTTCACAATTTATAACTGGCGGTAGGATACTCTCAAGGCCATGGGGTACATTTCAGCATGTCAGTTAGCATGGTTGTATTACTGATGGTAGAAACGAACCCCGATGGCACACAGAAAGACACTCTACAAAATTTTATTTCTGCAATAGGGTTCAGATAGCTGCACAGGAATATGCTAGCAAGAACTCTGGGCATGTCCTCTGGGGTTTCTGTCCCTGAAACGAGTCTTAAGGCTGTGCCTCACCCCATTGGCTAGGGCTTGGACCGCACAGTCTTGCCCTTACGTGGTTGGCTAATTCAAATGGCTATGGCGGCATTCTTGTCCTTACTTGACTGGCTATTTCAAATTGCTAGGGGAGCTTAAAGAAGTTGTAAATTCCAGGAAGTAGTAAAAAGAAAAAGAAAGGTCTTGCAGTCCCTACTCACTTCAGGAAGTAGTAAATAGAAGAAAGGTCAACCGAATACAATAAACAGAATTACAATAGTTTTGAAGAAAAGACAGTCATTCCCACACCGAGAAAATTGTTTATTATGAATTCAAAAAATAGTTTCTGTGTTAGGATTGTGAGAAACGTTGTCCATACCGACAAACGCTCAAGTAATCCAGTCTGTACTCATTTTAGCAAGAGTAAAGTTTTCATTGATTTTGCAAAATCAGGTGCCCAACCCAGTAGACAGGGACAGACCAGCCACATAGCTGGCCTGCAAACGTTTCATTCCCCTGTCCGGGAAAAAGCCCCTCCTCCAGTTCCAGTTTCCCAGTCACAACTCTACTGGCACCTCCCATTTTCCCTACCCTCAGAGAAGCCAAAATGGCTCCCCCATGGGTCTTAATGACTGTATTATTATTTAAAGTTCCTAGTCCTAGAACAGATATTTTTTCCTCCCTTCCCTCAATTCATCTTACTTACATATCCCTTGATGTAAATCAACAATCTGTGTCATAAGCCTTTGTATTCCTGAAGATGGACCACGCCCACAAGAGTTCCTTCTCACAAGATTGAAGACTACTAGAGGAGCTCTGGTAGCATAGTTGTTACGAGTTGGGCTGCTAACCTCAAGGTCAGTAGTTCGAAACTGACAGCTGTCCCTTGATAGAAACATGAGGCTTTCTGCTCCAGTAAAGATGTACAGCCTTGGAACGCCTATGTGAGGTTGCAACAACTGTCTCCACGGCACATCAAGAGTTAAAGGAGGTAATGTATGTAAATGATCATTGCTACATTTTGTGCACTTACTATGTGCCAGGCCCTAGATGCTAAACAGTTGACATAAATTATTTAATTCATCACACCAGCGCTTGGATTCAGAGAGAGACCAGGGATGGATTGGAGGTAGAGGAATTTTGAAACCCTGGAAGAGGATATAAGAGAATGGATAAGGGATCATCACCCAGCAGTATTTTGGACCAGAATTCTATCATGGGTTAAAGACCATGTGTTTTCTCTTTGCATTCCCAGGCCTCCCCAAATTAATTATATAGGTTGACAGCAGGTGATTTTTTGTTATGTGCTGTCAAGGATTGAATTGTGTGCCCCCCTAAATATGTCAACTTGAGCCATGATTCCTAGAATCGTGTGGTTGTCCTCCATTTTGTGATCTGATGTGATTATCCTTCATTTTGTGAAACCCCACTCTCTGTAATGAGGCTGGATTAGAGTGAGAGTGTATTTTGAGTCACAGCCTTACAGGAGGGTGACTTAGGTCATACCCTTGCTTGAGTCACATCTCTTATCTTACAAGAGATGAAAGGAGACGGAGAAGGAACCCAACTGTCACCAAGAAAGAAGAGCTGGGAACGGAGCACACCCTTTGCACCTGTGGTCCCTGTACTGTGAACCACCTAAACCCAGAGGAAGATTGATGGCAAGGTGGATGGAGAGACCAAGCTCTGGGCCCACAGACTTTGAAAGGAGACAAGGACCTGCCCTCAGAGCTAATAGAGAATGCCTTTCCATACTGCTGGTGCCTTGAATTGAGACTTAGCGACTCCTCAACTGGGAAAGAATACATTTGTTTGTTTAAGTCATGCACTTGGAGTATTTCTACTAAAACAAAACCTGTGCCTTGCGTTGGTGCTGGCTCATAGTGACCCTGTACGCCAGAGTAGACCTGCCCATGGAGCTCCTACACTGTAATGGAATCGCTGTGGGCTCACACATAGCCAGGATCGTGAAGGACTGGGCAGTGCTTTATTCTGTTGTACGCTGGGTCTCTGAGCCAGACCTGACTTGATGACACCTAACAACTCGTCTTTATGGGAGCAGAGGACCAAGTCTTCTGTCCACTACTGGTGGATTCAAACTGCTGCCTTTTGGTTTGCAGTTGAGTACTTAACTATGGAGCTTCCCTTCCTGTGAAGATGATGCTTGGAATTCTTTTAATGTGCCTGATGAAATTGAGATGCTGCACAACTCCAGCAGCTGATAAGATGCTGAAAATACCAGAACCGACTCAATGGCACATAACAACAACAAAACCCAATAACAGGAGTCCTGGTGTGGCATTGCAGAAGAATGCACTGGACCATCAGGTTAGTTTGAACCCTAAGGTCAGAGCTTCAAATCCACCAGCTGCTCCTTGGAAACCCTATACAGGGTCACTATGAGTCAGAACTGACTTGACGACACTTAACAACAACAGCAACCCAATAACATTACTCAGTGGCAATGGGTTTGGGTTTTGGGAACCAGTGTAATAGAGGAGTATGTTTTGAACACAGTTTACTTGGTTAGGTAGCAGTGGGCCTGAGAAAATTAATTTCGATTTCAGTTTGGAATAGGGAGGACTGGAAGGCTTTGGACTCTAAAGAAGGAAGAAAAAGGCAAACGAGGTCTAAGGAACTATACCTAGAGGGAAGGAGGATTTCACAGCACCATCTACAGAATACCTGCATGGACCACTCAGTTCTTGACTGTCAAGGGGACACCATCTCTTCTCCACATTACATCCTTAAGTGATATGGACAGTCAGGGGCTGGACTCAGGCTCACTTCTGTCCTGAGTGAGCAGGAAAGGCTTCTTAGAGAAGAGAGGCCTTTAAACCAGCCTTGAAGGAGAGGGTACTTGAGCACACAGGGGTGGCAGTGCCTAGTGGAAAGAGCACTGGCTTGGGAGGGACAGGCAACTTTAGGTTGGAATGTAGCTCTGTCACTTTTTAGCTCATGTTTTTCAGAGCATCACTAGGACAACAAGCACACTTGCTCTTTTCCCTGACCATGATGACATTCATCCAGCCAGTATCTGCTACAGTCTGGGGATACAGAGATGAGTCAGAAATTTTGCATTCCCTTAGGAATTTGCCAGTCCAGTGAGAAGGGTGGACTCCTTTAAAAAATGAGAAATGTCACTGTACAGGCGTGCACAAGTGGCAGTGAGCTTCCAGAGGAGTAACGACTCAGCCCAGATAGAGACCGTGGGCCAGGCGTGTGGCCTACATCAACAGGATGGGGATGAACACCTCCTAGCTTCTGGTCCTATGTTTTGCCCCAATGATCATAAAAAGAAATTTTGTGTGTATAGTTTGTAGGTTGCCTCAAACCCATTTTGGAAGGGAGCTGGTATAAATAAAAACAGCAGAATGGGTATTCATTGAGGAAGGCTTCACAAAAATTAGGTGAGAGTTGGACCTTAAAGGGTACAAATTTTTTTTTTTTAATGCAAATGCATTTTCGGTGCACTGTGGAGTCAGGATTCCAGCCAGAGTAAGCTCCGTGTATACAGAAACATGAGAAGGAAGGTGAGTTTGGTCTGGCTGGGTTGGAAGACGTATGTAGAGGATGGAAGGTGGAATGGAATGGGTGCTTTAATCACGAGCAGATCCAGAAAGGCCTCGAATACCATGGAGAAGTCTAGACTTCATCTCTTAGGCCACAGGGAAGATGTCAGAAGTTTTCAAGAAGGGCTGCAGCATGGTCACTCGGTTATGGGACGGTCCCTCAGGTTGGTGTGCTGAAGAGGCGGCTAGAGGTTTGGGAGACCACTTTGAATATAATTGTCTGACCTGAGACTTGGGTGGTGAGGAAAGGAGAGGGGGCAGGAGACACTGAGAGGCCTTCCTACAGGGCTTCATGGCCACTTAGTCACATGTGGTTGACGAGCACTTCAGGGTTTCTGCTCTGGAGGGTGAGGTAGACGTTGTTGTTGT